CCCTAGAAATCGTCTGCGCTTTCATTTCCGGGTTTCCCGTTACCAATATACAATCGAATGTCTGTTTAGTTCGAAAAGAAAGTCTAGCTACTGTCTGGAATAAGTCTGCGTAGAACTGTTAACTTTGACCATGGCCGTTTCGGACTGAATTGTTTGTTTATGTAGTTTGTTTACACAGTATAATTGTGAATGTCAAAATACTCACGTCGACTTGCTTTGTCTTCGATAAATCCTTAGTAAACCGTGCTTGTAGTTTTAAAATCTGTATTTTCCTGATGTTGGCCTAGTTTCCTTTAAAACTTAACAGGTCACTATTTTCACATTTTTATTTTCCAATTCGTTCCATTGTAAATTTGTTTTTCAGAAAACGAATTTACCAAGTGATGAGAATGCCTTTGTAGTAAAGGGCCGTACAAATAATGCGCAAGCACCTAAAATCGAAGTGGTTTTGAATTTGCTTATTTTGGCTGTAAATTTTGTTTGACGCTAAGCGTCATCTTTTGTTTTAATTTTATCCAAATATTCTTATTTTTAAATTAATAGGGTAAAAGTTGAAGTAAAAAAAAACAAATAGTGTTTCGATTCTTTTGTGTCATCACGGAAGCGGTTTGTAATTTGGTAAGTTTTGCGAACAAGGGGGTAGAGGCAGCTCGAAATATCTAAAAACTAGCATACAGAATATTTAAGCAGATCCTAAAATAATTTAAATAAAAGCACGGCAGGGGAAAATAGTTTCTAAATTGATGTCATTGCTCCTACATTTCTCTTTAGAATACTGAAATCCTTTTACTTATTTTAATTTAATTGTACGTATTCCTGGTTTTGTGTGTTTTAAGAAAATTCCTGAAAAAAGTCCCTATTAAGTTAGAAAATTTTCAAAACCATTTGTTATTCAAGATTTGTCACAACTCTCTAAAATAGATTTTATATCTCATAATTTTAAAAAGTATAAATTTAAAATTATAATAAACTTACGATAGTGAGTTTATCCATTAAGTCATTGGCATACAGAGAATATTGCAGTTTTTTTTTTTGTTTCTTTTTAAATTTGTAGTTATAGTTTTCGTGATTAGTTTCTTTCAAGTGATATTAAATATATTTAGTGTTTATGTTTCAATTTTTTATGTATCCTTACTGTTGCTTGATTTAGATATTGCTCAATGTTTGCATTTTTAGTTGGCATTTGTGGCTTTTAATACAAATTTAAAAAAAAAAAAACTTCTGAAACAAAAATTTAAAGATAATGTGAGGCAAAAAAAAAAAGAAAAAAAAAAGCATATACTATAAAGAAATAAGTTGTGCTGAGTTACGAAGGTATCGCAATTTACTAGTGTATTATTTTTTTAAGAACAATTTATTTAGAGTTCATGCAAGAAAATAAAATGAAAAAAGAATACAATTTTACATGGTTTATAAATTAGTGATGAAAAAAAAAAAAGATATTTGGTAAGCGTAAACATTAATTACAACCCCTTTAACTTTTATTATTTTTTTACTTAAAATTTAATTTTGGCAATTAATTCGGATTTAGAAAAAAAGAAATTTTCACGTCACGTTAACGTATGCATTGCAATGTGTTATGATTAGCGCGATTATAGTTTCACGTTTTCAATATCATCGATCGTAAAAACGTCATTAGTAGTACCACGCAGTCTACTGATTAAATGACTGTCTGTGATCTATTTCAATTCTTTTTTTATTATTGTCATTTTCCGCGCACTGAATTTTGGATTACCGAAAAAACAGATTTTTAAAAGATAACGAGTATTTTGTAAGCGAGGTGTTTTAATAATGTGTCAATCAAATACTTCTTTTTAAAAACCTTTTGTGTAATCGTTTGTAAAACGTTTTAATCATATTATTTTTGCTATTCGATTTTTCACTACTTTAACTATGTATTTTGACCTAGTTTTCAGTTCATTAACTTTATCAATTTTTTAAACCCAACCGCATTGAGAAGTTATGACAAGACTAATTTATTAAACTTTTTGTAGAATTGTGAGTAGTTTTGAAAAAAGAATTATGATGTTGTATATTTTATAAGTTTAAATTTAATTAAAAAATGATGTTATTTATTTTGGTTGTGGATATCCGTACTTTAATTTGTCTGCAGAATTTTTTGCCTTAAGATTTATTTCCAATTTTTAAATTAACACATCATTAACATTTTATTTTATGCAATTTCTTTTTTTTTTTTTTTTTTTTTTTTTTTTTTTTTGAGGTTGGCCATTTTAAAGTTAAACAATAACATAAGAAAAGAAACATTGCGGGTTGTGGGAAAAAAATAGATTTTAAAGATTCGATATTACTTTAATTTCAGTAGAGGCGTCATGCATTATTTTTTTCAAAAATAATAATTCCCGCCCTCGCTCACACTATTTAATTTGCTCTCTTCAGAGATTAATTTAAATAAATACGTCTCCAAGGTTGAGTACTTTCTTTTTGACCCAAATTCAATCGAAAGAAAAGGAGAAAGTGTTTTCTTTTGCATTGTTTTGAGCCACCCCGCCTGACCAGTTTTGTGTCTGTTTTGGAATTGTCACATCACAATTCTTGTTTGGTTAAAAAGAAAAACCAGACGTTCATAATGTTGGTCTGGAACGATCAATTAATGGTTCTGCTCGGTCGGTTTTTATTTTCTCTCAAATGCACTAATGCGTTATAAATGCTAAGCTAATTTTAGCCATTAAGGTAATGTTAAGTCGTATATTTGCTGCAATTTTGTTTATTAAAGCTCTTTTTTATAAGGGATAAAATAAATTATTAATTGGATTCTACAGGTTGGAGTTCACTAACTTTTTCAATGAAAGGCCGCTTGCACAGCAAGTTGACTAATAAAGGGCCGCATGAGTAAATATTTTTACTTAATTTTCATGTAAACAAGTGTTCTAGAGATCCTGTTTAACAGTCAACTTAGTAATATATTGGCATAAAATAAAGTGGTTTTAAATATTAAAATTCATTGAAAACTGAAAAAAATTTCATGTTATATAACATATTCCCCCCCCCCCTTTTTTTTTAAAGAAAATAAAACATATTTATTGAAATACATAGAAACATTGGGAGAAAGTTAAGGTTTTTTTCAAATTCGAAGTTCATTTTAAAAGTTGAAATTTAAAAATTTTTTGATTGTTGAAAATGCAAGCCTAATTTCTTAATTAATTCAAAAATAAATTTATGACACTAAATTTAAAATATTCTTTTTTTGTAACACACTTTAGTTATAATATAATCTAAAAATAAGTGTTTTTTGTTTTGTTTTGTAACTTAGGAGAGAGGTGACCAAATAGTGTTGTGCAACTTTACTCTAAACAGTGTCGACTTATTGTAATTGTTATCGTGATAATTACGTTCTATCGATGCTTTATATACGTTTAAGCAAGTACATTTTCCCTGTCGATAAGATTGTTTAATTAATATTCTTATCTTAAAGTTTTAAGACACGTTAACCTTACTCTCCATTCGAATGTTGCCCAGGGGTTGTTCTTTTGTTTCCGATTATCTCGATTTGCGTTTGTGAAATTATATCTTGGAATCACGTGTAGGCAACGAGTCATCTTTTGTTTGTTTATTTACCAGGTTGCCTAACGATGATTTTTAAAAATAGGCAAATTTCGACGTAGGGCCATTTCTAAATGTGGTGTATTCTCGTGGGAGATGGGAATAAGTAAAAATTAATTGATAGTTTTTTTTTTTTTTTTTTTCTGAATCAGATTGATCTTATTGTAGTATTTCAGTGATTCATATATTTTTTCTCGTTTTAGTTTGCTTTCCTTAAAATCTGCTTGTCTGTATATTTGAATACACACAAGACAAAAATGTGTTTTTTTTTAAAAAATTAAATTTGATTAAAAAAAACCCTGTTAAGATGCTGGCCAGCTGCGCAATAATTAAATTTTAATTTTAATAATAAAAATTTTTTTTGGTAATTTTTTTTTAAAGAATCTTGATGTTTTGAATATATAATTTTAAAATGTACAACTTTTCGAATGGCATTGTTTTTGCGTTTTTTCCACAAAATACATGCAAAAATAACTCTGTTGTATCTTAATTTAGGATTCATTAAATTGCATTTTTTTTTCATAAGCAGACAAAAGCAAGATTGTAAGAAATCTAGACGTTGATTCGATAATTATAGTACAAACATTGAGGGGTTGTTGAGCATACTAAAATATTTATTTTACAATGCTCCAGGCGACCGGCGAGGGAGGTTCTTTACTTACACAGACTAGACAAACATAAATTTGTAAAAGTTGGGTCTTGCTTTTATTTTGATTTACAAGACCCTGTTTTCATAAATTCTAAAGAACTGTGATAGATTTTTATCAAAACAGAACCTCACAAAACAGTCTGTATCTGCGCAGTTTAGTAATATCTTTTTATTTCTTGTATTGTGATATAGTTCAGGGGTCTGTTTGGAAAAATTTGAGTCCGTTAACGGACCCTCCACAAAATATCTTTTCATAAAAACGGACCCTTCACAAATTTGTTTATCTTTATTATTATTTTGTTAATTTAATTAAATCCTTCCCAGGGGCAGAAAACAAGAAAGATGGATGTAAACGAATTAAGTTTTGTCTTCGGCAGACGATTCTTCGTTTATTCGTCCGAAATGAATATTCTGCGTTCAGCAGTATAGGCTAAATACCAAATATTTGTATGTTGCATCTCTAATTTAGAAGCAGCAATAGCTGTTCATTTTTGAAAATTTAATTTTTTTTATTATAATTTTACAGTGCGAGCATAATCTTGTATCTATTTACAATTTAAAAACTCATTGAAAAAGTTTTTTGCAGTAACCGGACCCTATTTGCGCAAACTCATAAAAGCGGACCCTGGTTGAAAGAGTATGAGTAATTTTTACACAATTTCACGAAAAACGGGCCTTTCACAAAATGTCTGGACAGACCCCTGTAGTTAGTTATGTACTCATTATGTTGCATTTTTCGGCGATAGTTATTTAATAATGTTCATATATCTATATAAGTATTTCTTTTTAGATTTAGAAAATGTTTCATCATCACACCGAGAATTCTCCTAGTACTGGTGAACCACCAACTCCTCCTCTCACTGCTGAAGGCGGTGACAGACTGGCACCACCACCAAGCGATCACACTTCTGTAGGTCAGTGGCCAAACAATTCTCGTTTGTTTTTTGAACCAACATCATCCACGATGGTTGAACAAACCGAGAGGGGTCGTTCGAATACGATTCCTTCACACGACTCAGGCTACGAGATGTCTCCTAACCTTAACCCATCGGACTCTCGAGAGTTTTTTACTGAGTTGGAAGTATTCGAAGATGTCCGGGACCCAGACGATGAACAATGTAGTGAATGCGGCAACGACTTTTGCCAGTGTCAAAGGTCGCATTCTTCCAGAACAACTGTTCGGTCCTTCGATGGAACACCTTCAAACGTTTACTGTGATATGTATAGTTTCTCGTCCTCATCGTACCAGCGACCGTCCAGCCTGCCAATTGAAATACCAGTTGCACCCAGACGAACTTCCACTATGTTGCCTTCATCGAGCTTTTCTTTGCATCCTAGGCAAATACATTCGTCCCGATCATTGCCCCTCACTCACTCACACAATTTGCCAGTTTTTGATGAATTTTTATACAGATCTCAACCACGAGTGTGGCCAATTGTAATGTCTAGCAACACCAATCATTTGTCCAGTAACCATCGAAGAAACCAATCGCTTTCTAACTTGAGGCCCAGTTTCGATCTTGGCTCTTCTTTATCTTCTTCAATGGAATCCTTTTTCGACCTGGAACCACTAGATGGAGTTGGTGATGACGTGTTTCAAAACGATTTTTACGGTGAGTTCTTAAGAATTTTATTTCTAAAAATGAATGTATAATGTTTATTTTCATTTAATTTTGAATGACATAGAATGATTCAGAAAAAAAGGAACAATAACTTGACTTATTATAGATAATGTTTTTTTTTAAAAAATAATTATTTATGACGAAGTCAGCATGTGCCTTTCGTATTCTGCTAGCCCGCTAATTATGATTCGGTATTATGTCATTTCTTTCCTTTTATTTGTTTAGGCTTAGGGTTGTTAATAGTTTTCAACGTATAAGTTGAGGTGCCGCTTTTGCGTTGCTAGTTAAAGTTGTCGTCTCAGGCCATTAAGGCAAAAGGTGCGATTGTTCTTGTTTTCCAGTGGCGCCATCTATTGCCAAAAATTCGACTTCTGCAACACCCATACGTCTCACACGTTAATAGGGCAGACCCATTCATTGATCCATGGATCGCAATTTTGACTTGAACGGGAGAAGACCACACTCCAATTCAGTACCCCAGGGGTATAATTTGTCACGGGAACATGGGGGACTTTGTGACCGGATAGATTTAGCGTGCACCATTCACCATTACTACACGGGGAGGGTAGTCTTCGGCCGGCAGGATTCGAACTCCCGTTCCCACGAAGCTAGTTAAAGTTAAGGTTTTTTTTTTATGGTTAGGACCCTATTTTTCTATATAACGCAGCGCATTCTACTATTTAAAAAATAATGCAAGGCCTTATCGTAGGTTATTTGTTGTGGTAATTTCATATATCTCAACGGTGGTAAACATTTTATTTTTTTTTACGAAGTAAACATATTGCAAAAGTTAACTTAAAGGTGTGTTTCCAATCCATTTTGTTTTTTTAGGTGCATTTATGATTTAACGTACTCTAATGTAAAGTTTTTACAGCGATTTTCAAAGCTGTTTTCTTTAAGGGAAAAAAACATACTAAAGTAAAAAGTATACTTGAGGTAAAGGTTTTAATTTAAATTATCTATGTTATCTTGCAGTAAAAAGCTATCTGGGCTTTACAGCAAAAATTAAAAAAAATATTTAAAAATTTGCAAACTTTTTTCCAAGTTTAAAATAATAAAAAGTCAATTAATAATCCTCCATTTTTTAAAAAAAAATTATGAGCCCATATTATGCAGCTTCCGAGTAACGTTTAAAACATTAAAAAAATTAGACTACCAGCACTTTTAATTCTTTTTTTCCCGTGGACGTATTGCGCCATTTTCAAAATTAACATAGAGGCCGCTGACTAAACTGATGAACTAAACTTGATCTGACATGTATGAATAACTGTTGCAAACTCATAGCAGTTACGAAAGTAGTGCATTATGCGCAAAAAAAGCTTCAATCCATGCAAGTAAAGGTTTCGAAAAACAGCCTTAGAAAGTTAGTTACATTATTGCTATAAATTAAACCATTTCACTTAATTATTCTTGCAAGTTTATAATTCTGTTTTTCGTTGAGTGCATCAAAACACCACATTCTTCTACTAGAGAAGAAATCAATCTAGAGATTTCAGAAGTTGTCGCGAGATTCAGAAGTTTCGATGAGTGTTTTTAATAGAAAGTAAAAACGTTAACACGAGAGGGCGAAGAAAAAGATGAACTGGATTTTCAGCCAAGGTCGGAACAATGACCTGGCAAATTATACCTCCGTCCATTTTGTTGTCGAACAACTCTCTTCCATTTTGATAAGAGAGAGCATTTCATTTTGCCCTGGCCACGACACTTTATCGCTTTCTTCTTGCTAATCTTTGGGTGCTCCGACTTGAAAGCGACATTTTCACTGATTGAAAAAAAAAAACGAGGTCCCTTATTGCGAAATCGTTTTCTTTTTTAATGGTAGCAAAATACTGGGTTTGAGCCTCGTCTGTTCCACCCAAACATATAGCTCAGCTGAAGATCTTTCTCTTTGTGTTCTCGATTGTTTAACCAAGTGTTTGATGGTTCTTTTGGAAGGGTAAGGGGGTATTTTCGAAGATAATGAATCAGTGTGCATCATTTTGCAACTACAGTGACTGTGCTGTTGAAATTTTTTTATTTAGAGTAAGATGATTGCTATTTTGTCTCTAAAAGTTGTTGAGTTATTGTATGAGCAACTTTGTCTTTTATATGTTTAAAATCTTCTTAAAGTGTGAAATTATACAACTACTTTGTTGCTAGTTTTGGGGATTATCTTTCATTATCTTTATCTTTAGGATCATATCTTCAGGGATTATCTTTAGGATCATTTAGGGTTCCGTAGCCTAAAAAAAGTGCGAATTCTGAGTTAGAAAAAATCGAAATAAGTATAATTATAAATTTGCCAATGTATCATATTATACTGATGCTATAAATAATCGAAAAGCATTTTGTATATAGAGAATATGTAAATTTGATTTAAAGTTATGACCGGTTTGATTTCGATAGTTCTATGCCTACAGCTTTACAGATTTCTAAATCAGGCCTTTGGGTTACCTCCCTCAAAATACGATTAAGTTTCTGTATTTATTATTAAGTTTTTGAAAATAAGCTCTTAATATCTGGAAAAATGAATCTGTGGCATAGAAATGCATACAAACGAATTTTTTTCTAAGCTTATTATGCATGAAATATCTTGGTATTGCAGTGACAAATTAGTGCCTTATTAATTTATATCTCAAATTCTGTTTACATCCAATTGTGTCATTATCTTTTTGCTTTTTTACCTGTTTCCGTTTGTTCCCAGGTATGAAAAACATCACCTGTTATGAGTTTTACTAATGAGTCCGATATACCATAATTCCCATTTGTCCCATGAATGTAAATCATCACCTGATATGATTTACTAATGATGCGATATTGGCGATCTATTAGATCACGTGTCATTTTTTGATTGTTTGATCACTTTTATTGCGAAACAATCTACTGTGGACATCATTTCACAATAGATATGTTAATATCTTGTCATTACCGAATGATAGGAAGGGAGGTTGTTGCGAAAAAAAAAAGTACTGATGATTTTAAGTATCGCGCGGTGGTACTTTTTCAATCCCACCACTCTAATTAAATCGCCAATTGACACGCTCTGTCGATATCCAGAGATCCAACTGGCACCAGAAAAAGGCATCCGCTTTTATTCTAAATTCATCTCAGGTCGTTACCGTCTGGAATACATGTTTTTTGTTCCAATTGTCCGAAGGGTGTCATTCTTGCGGTTCTTTTAGAACTCCTGAATCATCCACTACCAAATCGTCGGCATTTCCGGATGGTGGATAAACTATTTCCAGGTGGGATAGAGGAAAAGGAAAGAAAGAACTCTTTTCGTAGGAGGGGTAATTGTGCATGGGCATTGGGGAACTAATTCGATTTGTCATTAGTGAACTTGGTACCTTTTTTTGTTGATTTGAGTGTGTGGCAGGTGTGGTGTGATTGAATAGGCGTGGAATAGATCGTTTTTTGATTGTGGACAAATTGTTTGTTATTTTAAGTCTCTGAAGATAGTAGCGTTGTAGTGCTGTGTTTATCCTCTAGTCTGTAATGTTTTATGTTATTTTGGAATTTAGATTCTGTTTTGGTAAGATTTTTCTCTTAAGTATTTATTTATTTTTAACTAACTTGTAATGATTATCAAAATGGCGATTAACACTGCAAAGATAAAATCCATAAAGATTTCAGAGGAAGTAATTTGATAATTTTCTTAAGATACACTTGGTAAAGTAATAGGGCACATAATACATGTATTGGGTGTNTGATCTTTCTCTACTTTATTAAAATTTAGTTGCGGTTTGTCTTATGTCACCATGATCTTTCTCTACTTTATTAAAATTTAGTTGCGGTTTGTCTTATGTCACCATGATCTTTCTCTACTTTATTAAAATTTAGTTGCGGTTTGTCTTATGTCACCATGATCTTTCTCTACTTTATTAAAATTTAGTTGCGGTTTGTCTTATGTCACCATGATCTTTCTCTACTTTATTAAAATTTAGTTGCGGTTTGTCTTATGTCACCATGATCTTTCTCTACTTTATTAAAATTTAGTTGCGGTTTGTCTTATGTCACCATGATCTTTCTCTACTTTATTAAAATTTAGTTGCGGTTTGTCTTATGTCACCATGATCTTTCTCTACTTTATTAAAATTTAGTTGCGGTTTGTCTTATGTCACCATGATCTTTCTCTACTTTATTAAAATTTAGTTGCGGTTTGTCTTATGTCACCATGATCTTTCTCTACTTTATTAAAATTTAGTTGCGGTTTGTCTTATGTCACCATGATCTTTCTCTACTTTATTAAAATTTAGTTGCGGTTTGTCTTATGTCACCATGATCTTTCTCTACTTTATTAAAATTTAGTTGCGGTTTGTCTTATGTCACCATGATCTTTCTCTACTTTATTAAAATTTAGTTGCGGTTTGTCTTATGTCACCATGATCTTTCTCTACTTTATTAAAATTTAGTTGCGGTTTGTCTTATGTCACCATGATCTTTCTCTACTTTATTAAAATTTAGTTGCGGTTTGTCTTATGTCACCATGATCTTTCTCTACTTTATTAAAATTTAGTTGCGGTTTGTCTTATGTCACCATGATCTTTCTCTACTTTATTAAAATTTAGTTGCGGTTTGTCTTATGTCACCATGATCTTTCTCTACTTTATTAAAATTTAGTTGCGGTTTGTCTTATGTCACCATGATCTTTCTCTACTTTATTAAAATTTAGTTGCGGTTTGTCTTATGTCACCATGATCTTTCTCTACTTTATTAAAATTTAGTTGCGGTTTGTCTTATGTCACCATGATCTTTCTCTACTTTATTAAAATTTAGTTGCGGTTTGTCTTATGTCACCATGATCTTTCTCTACTTTATTAAAATTTAGTTGCGGTTTGTCTTATGTCACCATGATCTTTCTCTACTTTATTAAAATTTAGTTGCGGTTTGTCTTATGTCACCATGATCTTTCTCTACTTTATTAAAATTTAGTTGCGGTTTGTCTTATGTCACCATGATCTTTCTCTACTTTATTAAAATTTAGTTGCGGTTTGTCTTATGTCACCATGATC